CCCCCCACCCCCCCCGCCCTTAATGAGATGTCACAGCACACTTTTTTTTTTTCACGCCCATGAACTATATTAAATTTTCTGATGTCCCAAACACTTTTAAACCGAATACTGTATTTTCATTTATCGAAAAATATTACGCATTAAACGAAGTTGCGTTATTAACAAAATCTAAATGGTTTAGCGTAGTTATCGTGAATTATATTTTGCGCGCTAGTGAACTCGTTATCTATATATAGCCTGCGTGGTGGTGGTGGTGTTTGACAGTTAGTTATGAAGTAGCAACGGCAATAATTTTGTGGTTGGGGGTCGCCACAACACGGGGAACTGTATTAAAGGGTCGCGGCATTAGGAAGGTTGAGAACCACTGGCCTAGATACCCCACAATAAAAATCACAGAGAGGAGCGGTCCTGTACTGAACACCACTACATCAATACAGTTCGTGATTATTCAGGACCGGAGCCCTCCTCCGTAATAACCGTTCTGTGACAGACAGATAATAGACAAACAGAGAATATACTAGATTTCTGAAATTCACATCATTATTGCCCAGTCTAATTTTTGTTGTTTTCGTTTTCAAATTCATTCTAGATTCTAGATTGAGTAAATGCTTTAATGAATAACTGCGACAACTGATCAACTATGTCATACTGGGGTATCAGATGGGTTGGTACTGGGGTGGCAGATGGGTTGGTACTGGGACATCAGATGGGTTGGTACTGGGACATCAGATGGGTTGGTACTGGGACATCAGATGGGTTGGTACTGGGGACATCAGATGGGTTGGTACTGGGACATCAGATGGGTTGGTACTGGGACATCAGATGGGTTGGTACTGGGACATCAGATGGGTTGGTACTGGGACATCAGATGGGTTGGTACTGGGACATCAGATGAGTTGGTACTGGGACATCAGATGGGTTGGTACTGGGACATCAGATGGGTTGGTACTGGAGTATCATATGGGTTGGTACTGGGACATCAGATGGGTTGGTACTGGGTTATCAGATGAGTTGATACTGGGACTTCAGATGAATTGATACTGGGGTGTCAGATGAGTTGATAATTGGGTATCAGATGAGTAGGTTCTTTCTTTGATCAATCAATTGAATGAAGTCTTTGTGTTTGTTT